TGTAACGTACCACAATCACATATATTATTATAAGCCATTATGAACACAACGGCAAAGTAACGGTAAATCAACAAGTAACAGGGATATACGTGCAACACGGACAGTTGGATGAAACAATGGGGAGAAGAGTTCTCCCGCGCCGAGCGCGGCGAGCCTTTTATATGAGCCCGGCCTTCGCGACCGACATCCGGGCATTATCTTCTCACCTCCTGAGCTTCGCCAGATCGCATTCTTATGCGACCTGCGATCGTTGCTTCGCGAGCACCGCGTGCCCCCCTCTCCGCACTCCCTCTGTCGTACCACGCTATCTGGTCAGTTTATTAATATATTATTATAAACACCTCTGCTTGCTAGACGTCCTGAATAATTAATGAGCGCGCGCGATGCTAGCTTGCACGCCAGCATCGCTACACGTGTGTGTGCACGTGTGTGTGCGTGCGTGTGTTCGTGCGTATGCGTGCGTGCGTGCGTGTGCACGTAACAGGCTTCTCTTGTAGGTACGCCTCTCTTATTGGAATAATATAGGTCTCAGAATATAACAAGTTAAGATGTGTGGTGATGTGTAAGCGTGCGCGTGTGTGGCTGTTGTCTGTTACAAGGAGCCAAATATAACAAGGAGAGGAAGCGGATTGGCTGTGTGCTGTTCGCCTCAAGGGTGCCATTTATGGACCATAATCAGGTGAAACGCCTGTGCAGACCGAACCCAGAGACAATAGAACACTAATCTATTCTAGGGTCTCTGCCGAACCCAAATTTGGGCCAGATATGGCGGCGCTTCCTCTCCTTGTTATATTTAGCTCCTTGGTCTGGTGTGAGGGTGAGAGTAATCGGCTTCTGGTATGTTTCTGGTGTGGTTTATAAGGTCAGGCTCTCGGAATATAGAAAGCTAGGATAAGGATATTGGAATAAAAAAATTCAGGATTCTAGAAATTTAGAAATCTATCGTCGTTAATCCGTCTTTCTTTCTTCGTCCGTTCACAGGTTCAGCTGAGGCGCTCTCTGCTGGAGAACCATGACCCTGACAACGACCTCTACCAGTGGCACGGCGGCTCGAAGCTGTGCAGCGGCGTACTCGAGTCGCTCATCACCCTAGAGGGCGCCGGCGAGGTCGAGGTGAAGGCGCGCGGGCCTGTCGACGCGCAGCTCTCTTGTTTCTACTTTCTCGACGACGTCGTGAGCGTCGTCGAGGCGGCCATCGTCGAGGTGTGTCCGGGCCTCGCGCTGCAGCGACTCGTGCTGAGCGCAGCCGACCTGGCAGAGTGCCAGGGCGCGTCCGTCGACCTGGCAGAGTGCCAGGGCGCGTCCGTCGACCTGGCAGAGTGCCAGGGCGCGTTCGTCGACCTGGCCGATTGCCACGGCTCGGTCGATCTGGCGGAGTGCCAAGATTCGAGAGACCTGGCAGAGTGCCAGAGGTCGGTCGATTTGCCAGAGAGCCAAGATTCGGGCGAGCTGGCGCGGTGCCAAGAATCCGACGACCCGTGTCTGGAATCGGTCGATTTGGGAGACCGAGAATCGAACGAGGACCAGGATTGCGACGATGGCGACACCGGCGCGGACGTGGAGACGTACACGGCGGCAGACGTGCTGCGCAGCCAGCTCCGCCGCGGGTTCGTCGTCGCGAACGCCGCCGGCAGCGAGGAGCATCTCGTCGACCTCCTCTGCTTCGGCGCGGCGGACGCCCTCCACGCGCTCACGCTCGGCGTCGACCTCCCCGCGGCGTGCCTCGACCCCGCGACCCGCCGCCGCCTCGCCTCCGTCCTCGACCCGGCCGATCCCTGGGGCAAGGACTGGTGTTTGCTCGCGGTCGCGCTCGGGCTGAACGATCTTCTGCCGTCGATCGACGCCGGGGTCGGCGAGGGCGAGTCGCGGACGGCGGCGGCGATCACCGAGTGGGCGAGGAGAGAGGGCGCCACCGTCGGCGCGCTCGTCGAGAAGCTGCAGGAGCTGGGGCGGGCGGACGCGGCGGAGGCGGTCCTCGAGGCGGCGCCGCTGTACCGCGTCGCCGCCGAGGACGGTGGCGCCGCCGAGCGGCAGGCGGCGGAGGCGAGGATACGATCGCTGTCGTCGGACCTCTCGCGGTTGTCGCGGTAACGCCGCATCAACTGTCACTGATGTGCTGGAATGCCGGCTTCGCAGATCGTTATCGCAGAGTCTCGATCGAATCTCGCGGACGTTGATGTCCGGCGTCACGCTGCGCGTCCGTTCCGACGAGACGTACGTCCGCCGCGCCGCGACCTTCACGCTCCGTCAAGGTCAACGAGGAAAATCGTGATCCAGAAAGGCAGCGTCGCACACCGTGAGTTGAGAGCGCGACGGTGAGATCGACTAGATGTGTCAGGACCTCGGACGGCCAGTCCCGCATGCGGTGACCCCTGGCGGCCACATCGCTCGTCTGCGATGCTATGCAAGCGACAGATTCCGGCATGAAGCTGCCCTCGTCGCCATGACGACGTCCCTCGCGTTAACGATCGCTCGTTAGCCGTCGCTCGCCTATTCTCTTCCCTCCGTCGTCTGCGATCGTTTCTCTCTCATCTGCGACAGAGAGCGGGGGGGGGAAAAATTTCTTGGGGGGAAAAATCTCGATCTTCCGACGGAATCTCCTGTATTACCCTGCGTTTTGGCAGCTACTGCGAGTCGATACATCGACTGTTGTTTCACCGGAGGACTATTGTTTTCACGGCGTGGCGTGATGCTGCGCTTGTGCTACAGTGTTGCTGTTAGTGCAGACGCGAGCGCATGCAATGTCAGTATGCACTCATTGAAGCGAATTTGTGCGTCTGATGATGATGATGGTGATGACGATGATGACGATAATGTAGATGATGATGATGATGATGATGATGATGATAATGTGGATGATGATGATGATGATGATGACGATGATGATGATAATGATGATGATGATGATGATGATGTGGATGATGATGATGATGATGATGATGATGACGATGATGACGACGACGATGATGACGACGATGGTGATGACGATTGATGACGTCGGCCCCCATCGCAGAATGCCGTGGTGAAAATATCATCAGGTGGTTGTATCTTACTCGTGTTTGGGGATGGCGTAAATCGCAAGTTGAGCATAATTACTTGAGGAGAACGTTAACATAGATCAAACGTAATGTTATTATGAATAACATGTTAATTAATGAATGTTACGATCGTCCGTGTCAATGTACTCCCCATCACGCATAATTATTACTTAACGCGTATTTGTACATATAGAATTTGCTGATGACGTCATTGCGAGCTACAGCTGATAGTTCCCGTGATGTTACTGTTTATGTGCAGTGGTTGTGCTAAGCTGGGGTCCGGTGGCGGCGTGATGCCGCGAGACCTCGCGATTTTATACTAATATAAACTACTATTCTTCTGCATAATGATCGACCCTTGCGCATGCGCATAGTTCGTGGAACGTTTCCTGGTCGTCTTCCTTTGTTATTTAGCTGAAGGTTTTACCGTTTCCGCGTTATAGCATGCACATTGTATCAGGAGTGAATAATAATGGAGCTATTAGTATTCACTCCTTGATTTTATAGCATCAATTCTCGATGTAGGTAATATTCGCGATGACACTCGCAGGCTGGTGCAGTTTTTTCGTTGTTGCTGTGAAACTGTCAGTGCTTTAAAGTCAGCGTTTCAAACATCGACAATTCCACGGCTTGCACATGCCGTGTGTATGCTCTCAATCGTAGGTTTTAGGACCCCCTGTATATATTAGTTGCGCATATATGCTAAACTAATCCGGGGTGCTAAACTAGCATTGGGCCGTGTGTGTGCGCGCCGGTTGCAGTTACATAGTGGCTGAAGTAGACAATAGGGAATTATTAGTTTCTTATTATCTACTTCTGATAAGTGGTATTATTCAAAAATCCGTCGCTGGAGCACGAGCGCGATAAAGTTGCAACAACAAGAGGGTTTGGGTAATAGCATGCAGGTCGTTTACCTCGTTTCGTCTGGGTGGTTGCGGTTCGACGATACCGAATGTTTATCGCGTTGTTATATACATCTAAATATATTCAGCAACCCGCTCTGTAACGAGTGGCAACTCTAACTGCGGCAAGGGGGACAATGCTGTGAACTTGAATGATAATTTCCTCTCGGCTATCGGTTGGGGGAATCTGGCACGGAGATGGATGGGTGGGTGCGTCCGATGTGGCGTTTGTTACGCCTCCCTCACTCACTCACTGCATGCTCGGTCTAGGAATGGGGGCTCAACTGTTTACTAATATATTTATTTATTTAAGCTGAAGCTGGTGCTGTGAGGATTACGATTAAGTGCAGCTCGCGCGCGTGTGTGTGTGTGTGTGCGTGTGGTGTGTGTGTGCGTGTGCGGTGTGGTGTGTTGTGTGGTG